AACTTAAAATCTTTATTAATAAAGTTAATAAAATATATATTAAACTATAATTTTTATATAATAATGATATTAATAAATTAATATTTAATATTTTATTAAGAAATTACCACTTTTTTTTTAACTTCGCAAGCAAATTTGCCTGCTTTACAGTTTAAGGGATAAATAAGCAAAATGGTTTATCAAATCCTAATTTAATTGGTTTAATTGGCTTAAAAAAGCATTTATAAAGTTATTAGATTCTTTAGTATTATATGTATTATGTTTAGAAAATCAGGTAAGAGTTATAAATGAAAATCATGTGTTGAAAAAATCAGTTCATTCTATTGCTGATTCTGAAACTATCATAATTTATAGTGCTAATAAATTTTGATCAAAAGATATTATAAAGAAATATAAAACATTGGTTAATGCTTTACAAGAATTAGAAAATTGGATTCTGTTAGATAAATCATTATATTATTTAAACAATCCTACATAAGTAATTGATTTACTAAAGTTGATTAAAATTTATTTAATAAAAAATTAATATATAATTAATTTTATAGAAAATAATATGCTTATCTTAATGGTTTAAAAAAGTATTTCCTTTTAAAGTTGGTCATTATTCTTTCAATTCTGGTAATAATGCATTTAATATTATTTGAATATAGAAAGTTAATATATATAAACTAGAATTAAAGATAATAAATGAATCACAAAAGCTTGTTTCTAACCTTGAAAAATTAATATCACAATACTAATATGCATTTATTAATTCTGCTAAAATTCTTTTTGATACAAATATAGTAAAAAAATAATCTTTTGAAATATCTATAAGACATTTATACAAGATAGTATTACAGCTAATTGTGAAAATAAGATAGAGATTGATATATATTATCAGCGTGAAAATTTCACTCCTATCTCTTATGTGATAACAATTTATTTTTATTCTTGTTAATTAAATCTAAATCTTCTGTTTTTTTGTCAAAGATTTGGTTAATGTTACTCATGATGCAAGACAGACAACTCCTGCAAAGTTTTGATCTTAGAAAATTCACATCTTATAAGTATCTCAGGAAGCTTAAAATCTTGAACTGGTAATATATGTCTCTATTTAATTACAAAATAATAGGAAAATTATAAATGATGAACTAAAATGTATAGCATAATGTAGGATGTCACATCAAATCCTAAATAGAGGATACAAAAAAAGAAGTGTTTAACATTAATTTTTTTATTAAATTTTAGTTTATTATTAACATTAGAACTATTAATATTTTGGGACTAATACAGCCTTAATTTTTACATTAATAAAGAACTATTTTATTTATAATAATTTTGCACTACTATTTCTAATGATACGAACTATTAATTTTAAATAAAAATAATAAATATAAGAAGTATAATAAATATAATAAGAGTAACAAAGATAATTCATATAATAAAAATAACAAAAATAACAAATATAATAAAAAAATAAATATAACAATAATTATTGAAATAATAGAAATAAGTATAATAATAGTAATCAGATTTATCAGGCTTATCAAATAGATCCAGTAAACCCTAAAAATCCTAAGAATCCTAAGAATCTTAAGAATCAGACAAATCAGAATTATGCTGATCCTTTAATTTTATGATCAATATAAAATTAATTTCAGTAACTTCTGTAGATTGCTTGATAATTCTTTATAGATCAACTTTTCAATAGTGAATTTTCAGCTAGTAATAATAGATAAAAAATAAAAATAAAAAAATTCATGAAATAATACAATTATGAAAAACTACGAAAACTATGCATAACTTTACAACTATTAATCCAATTATAATAAAATTTTATATGCATATATTTTTGAATTCACTGAATAATATTATTTAAGCAATCAATTTTGATTTCTATTGACCAAAATGCTTAAATTGCTTTTTGAAGTCACTGTACAGATAAAAAATAAAAATAAAAAATTCGTGAGATAATACAATTACAAAAAAACATGTATAACTTTACAATCATTAATCTGATTATAATAAAATTTTATATGCTTATATTTTCAAACCCATTAAATAACTTACTTAAGCAATAAAAGTTGATTGCCTTTGACAAAAATACTTAAATTACTCTTTAAAGTCACTATACAAATAAAAAATAAAATAAAAATTTTTGTGAAATAATACAAGGAAAAACTTATATAACTTTACAACTATTAATCCAATCATAATAAAAATTTATATACACATATTTTCAAATCTGCTAAGCAACTTTACATATATAACTAAAGTTAATTTCCTTTGACCAAAATACTCAAATAACTCTTTGAATTAATTGAATAGATAAAAAAAATCAAAAAATTTTGTTGATTAATGTAATTGCAAAAAAATGTTTATAATTTAAAATTTAACTTTTTGATTATAATAAATTACAAAGTAATTATACAAACAACTTTATAAAATATAAAAAAAAAGTATATTAAATAAAATTAAAGATTTTTTTTTTTTTTTTTAAGATGTTGTAACATTGATTGGAAATAAGAGCCCTACCAGGCAGTGATATACATTTCCTATGTCTAAAGCATTTGTTGTTCTAGCTATATGTTCCAACTATATGTTCCAATTATATTCTATATATGTCCCAAATGTCTCATCTGTCCTATCAATATCCCATCAGTGTTTCATCAGTGTCCTAACTATGTCCCATAACAATATTGCTGCCAGGTGAGACGTAAGATTGTATTTATTACAAACCAATCAGCGAAGCCAAATTTCTATCAATCCAAGGTTTCATTTGCATCTACATGTTCTAACATTATGCAATATTTAGGTATGATCAATGTTGATTGATAGATCAATCAACTAGATTTATATATATGTTAGTACATACATCTATTATTTCAGTCACGTATGAAATTCTTATGAAAATCATTAAGTTTTATGTATTGGCTAATATTTGAACTGATAGCTTATTGCTGTATAATGAAACTTTAGCTTAATAGCAGACTCGTGATTTAACCACTGAGCCAGGTATGTCGATCCCTAAATTAAAGATGTTTTAAAAAAAAAGATAAAAAAAAAATTTTTTTAAATATTTTATTTTGTTTAATTTGATTGGTTGACCTAAATTTTATCAGGTCGGGTCATAAGCTTGACCTGACCTGATGTTGACCTAAAATTTGTCTACCTGACCTGGATTTTCATGTTAGATACGATCGGGTCACAGGTTGACCTAACCTGATTTAGACTCTATATTGAAGTTATATTAATAGATGAAATAATACATAAATGTTATCTTCATATACAACCTACAAAAACTTTTGACAATTTACCTAATACTATTAAAAGTAAAGGATGAAAACAAAAGTTAAAAGATAACAATAAATTGTAGTTAGATGAATTAAGAATTATAATCAGAATTTACAATATAGTTTGTTATACTAATATATAGGTTAAAGATAATAATTTATCAAGTTCTTTATTTTTCAAATTTTTGATTCAAGAAATCATCTATGTTTTTAATGGCTATCAAAGAATTTGATTAGTTTTTCTTCAATATAAGTTACTAGCTAAACATTGTGTATATATTCCTAAACAATCATCAAATCAAAATATGAAGCATTTTAAATTTTTTGTGAATTTGTATTATGATAATTTTGGTACTTTTAATAAGGCATATCATAAATTCAGAGAATTTTATATACAACTTGGTAATATAAATAAAAAGTTATGAAAAAACTTAGAAATCACTTTCTTATTAGCTTTGTTTCATTCAGTAGAGAATTTGATAATGTATTAAAAGAATTCATTTTAGATATGAAAGAATTACAAGACAGAATTATTATGAAAATGAGAAATGAGCAAGTTTAGATAACAGTAGAATTCAGGATAGTTATAGCAGATCTTCTACAAGATAATAAAATGGCTAGTACAAAAAGACAAAATACTGAATATGAATGTTATACTTGCAAAGTCTCTCAGAGTTAATTAGCTGATTTAAAGTTTGATATCATTCAAAATGGATGATTTTATCATCTAACAGATAGAATATGTATTATATTAATAAACTATAAACTATAAAATATTAAAAAATTAGGACTGCTAAAAATATTACATTAAAAGAAAGAATTACACAAGAATATGAATTATGTTTAATGCTGAATTTATTAGATAAATTATCATATGATCATTATATATAGATATCTTAAGATCCTTTTCATTATTTAGCTAAGCTAACATGAAGGTTTTTTGAATATCTATTCAAATAAGAACTAGAAATATCTAGTCTTGAAGCTTTTAATAATGTATAACGTACTTTTGAGATATCAAGTAATTAAAGTGACTATAAAGTTCTATCAGTCATTTTAAATTATATTGGATAAGTGATTCATTACATTGGTAATAATAATACCTTTTATTTTAATATGATATTTGAATACTTTGCATTTAAAATGAGACTTTGATAATACTATTAAAGAAAGCTGTTAATTAATAAACTTAAGACAAGAGAAGGGTGAGGTAATTAAACCTTGAGTTTATTTGCAAAAGCATATATAAAGGTATTTGCAAATAAATTTTACTGTAAAAATACGAATGATTAACATGATTTACTGACAATCCTGATATAAATTAATGATAATAACCAGATATTTACAATATTGCTATTAATAACTATATATTTTTATTTTATTTTTTATAGATTTATTTAGATATAATAAATATTTTACTTAATGTTTATATTTTACAGCATTTTTCATCAATTGCTAAACTTATAATACCTTATAAAACGTTTCAGTTTCACTTAAATAAAAATTGTATAGTTTTTATAAAAGAGTTATATCATATACTAATAAAAAAAATGTTGAAATAGATTTTATGAAATATGACAATACATTACAAGCACTCCATTATATATTAGATAATAGCTATGATCCAAGATTTTCTCAAGATACTAGCAATTATATAAATTTTATTACAAAAGATAATCGATTGAGATGATTATTAGAAGGATGGTATATCAATACTAGTTTACTATAAAATAGACTTAATGGAAAAGCAAACTGATGATAAGCATGAAAAAATTAATAGTTAGTATTAATCATTATTACCAAACATATTAATTAATTTTAAGTTGATTTATTTATTTATTTAATCAAGAGATCATGTTATCTCAAGAATGTCTTTTTAATATTTGTTTACACAGAAAATAGAATTCTATAAAGATTTAAAGAAAGGCTTTGTAAAGAAACTTAGTAATAAATATTTAATGTAACGATATCTTTATAATACATATTATATTCACTATAAAAAGAAATTGGCTATTAGTTTTAAGACTGTAGATTACTTTGATGCAATCTTATATAATTTTTTTCAAGATGATAGTATAACTATTGACATCAAGATTTGCATCAGTAATACTATCGACATAGAAAAAGATAATAAAATAACAAATTATACTTATGCTATTATATGAGGAATTTTTACACATATAGCTAATGATAGAGAAAGGTATACTTTTTTTATTATAGATTGGTATTATAATACTGGCTGGATAGAGAATTTTACTGAAAGTAAAATCTATAGTCTGCAAGAATCTAATGATAATTTATGATCTCATATTCATTCTTTTTATATTATTGATCAAAAACTGCATATATATTTTATGCATAATTGTAAAATGAGTTGTATAAATAATTATCATATAACTGATAATTTGAAATACTTGCATAATAAATTTTTTATATAATCATATAAAGATAATAAATAATTAAGTATTTCTAATAGCTAAAAGTATATTAATAATATATGTTTTTATATATATAATTATAGAATTTGATTTTACATATATATTATTTTACAATATACATGTATTAAATAAATTATTATTGTCTATTATACAATATATTATATTATTAATTGTAATATTTATTTCATAATATATTATCACTATCTATTATATAATATTTTTAACAGATATTTTATAATATATTATTATTATCTATTATACTATTTATTTTACAATATATTGTTATTATCTATTGTATAATGTATTTATAATTACATGAAACATTATCTTAAAATAGTTTGTAAATAAGGTATTGTGAGTATAAATTTTAAGATATATTATAAAAAATTTAAGTTTAACTTAACGTTATATTTTTCTTATACTAGATGTAAATTAAATAATAAATAACTTCTGAAGACTAATTCTTCTTTTAATCTATTACATGTATATAGTCTAGTTAGAGTTCTGAATCAAGTCAGATCAACCTGTAACTTGACCTAATCTGACTTGAAAATCCAGGTTGGGTAAATAAATTTTCAGGTCAACATCAGGTTAGGTCAAACTTATAATCTGACCTAATAAAATTTAAGTCAACTAATCAAATTAAATATTTCAAAAAAATTTTTTTTGATCTATTTTTTTTAAAACATCTTTAATTTTATTTAATATACATTCTTTTTATATTCTAATAAAGTTGTTTGTATAATTACTTTGTAATTTATTATAATCAAAAAAGTTAATTTTAAATTATAAACATTTTTTGCAATTATATTAATCAACAAATTATTTTTAATTTTTTTTTATCTGTTCAAATATTCAAAGAATTATTTGAGTACTTTAGTTAAAGGAAATCGACTTTTATTATATAAGTAAAGTTACTCAGCAGATTCAAAAATATGTGCATATAAATTTTTATTATGATTGAATTAATAATTATAAAGTTATGAACATTTTTCATAATTATATTAGTAATTATCTGATTTGCAGATTTATCATAATTTGTAATTTTAAATTCTGCAGTTAATATATTTTTTTAAAAAAATATTAAAATAAAATTAACAATTGTTTAGTTTTTTATTAATTATATTACTTTTATATTGAATATAAATATTGTTAAACTAGTAAAACTAAAAAAATTCCTTTTTAAAATAAGTCAGATCAGGTCAGGTTGGATCAAATGTATATTTAATTCAGGTCAATTTTATGTCTGACCTAACCTGAATTATTCGAAGTTCTAGCTTGATTACATGATACAAAAAAAAGCAATTTCATGAAATTTTAAAAATAGTCTGCTTTATTATATTAGTATCATAGATTATCTAAAAAATCTACTATTTGAAATATTTACAAGACATATCTGATAGATCAGTTATAAATATTAACTTTGATCAAATCATGTGATTTCTAAAATTGCACAGTCTCAGAAGATTGCCAAAAAAAAATATGTATTTTTTTTGATCTCATAAATAAAAATGATAATTATCATCCTTTTAAGACAATTTTTTAATTATTCTTAATGAATGATGATTTTATCATCCCAAAGGAATGATTTTTTAATTGTTTTTAATGAATGATAATCTTATTATCCCAAAGGAATGATTTTTTAAATTGTTCTTAATGAATGATGATTTTATCATTCCAAAGGTACGATTTTTTAAATTGTTCTTAATGAATAATGATTTTATCATCCCAAAGTGATGATTTTTTAAATTATTCTTAATGAACAATAATTTTATTGTTCTAAAGGGACGATTTTTTAATCATTCTTAATGAACAATGATTTTATCATCCTAAAGGGATGATTTTTAAATTGTTCTTAATAAATGATAATTTTATTGTCTTAAAAGGACGATTTTTTAAATTGTTCTTAATGAATGATGATTTATCGTTCTAAAGGAATGATTTTTTAATCATTCTTAATGAACAATAATTTTATCATCTCAAAGGGATGATTTTTTAAATTGCTTAATAAGAACAATAGTCTATCATCCCTTTAGGATGATTTTTTAATCATTCTTAATAAAGAATTGATCTATCATTCCAAAAGGATGATTTTTATCGTTCCTATTGGATTTGTATCATCCGATTGGAATGATGTTGAATCATTCTTTTGGGACAATAATTGTATCATTCTATTTGGAACAATTTTTTACTATCATATCATTTTCCAATCGGACAATTTTTGCATTATCCTATTGGACCAATTGGAGTTGATTTTGGGCTCAATTCCAATCTATTATAAATTCATAAATATGATGGCTGATTTTTGACTGATTTTCAAATTTAGTCTGAATTACCAATGAATGGCAAATGGCGATTTTTTTAATTTTGACCAGTGAAATGATTTGCCCAGTGATTTTTTATCTCTTTCTGTACAGATTGTATCACAATAAGCCATCAAATAAATTTATCAAACTTAAAAATAAAATAAAAAATTTTTTAATGCTTATATTTAAAATAATACAATGTAATTCAATAAATATTAACTTGTGCTATAAAATGACGTTGAGATTACTCCAATCAGAAATCTAGATCAAAAGTTTTTAGCTGATAAAGTTTAAGTATTTTCTTAA